CATTAGCTATTCCCGAGATCAAAACTATTTTAGTTTGGGTTACTTTGAAAAAGATACCCAACATTTTATACTCAATTCCATGAATTAGCCACGTAGCTTCTGGATTGGGTGTTCCAATGACAACTCATATACCTCGTTTAGACCTAATTCTTATGGGAGAAGCCAAGATTCTAGTAGAGGTTGAGTTGAGCAAAACTTTCTGATCTAGAATTGCAAATAATGATGTAAATGGTTTTATCTCTATGGTTGAAGTAGAATACGCATGGTTACCTACTAAGTGTAGTAGGTGTGGACAACTAGGACACAAAATCAAGCGTTGTTTACAATCTGCAATAGCGAATGAATCGAAGGATCGCAATGTGATTAGGTCTAATACTTCTCTCTCTGTTCCGGTTGATTCACCACAATCCACCGCTTTGGTCCCTGCCACAAGTGTTGAGATCATTCTTTCTACCACTACTGTTTCCCCATCTAAGGAAATCACAGCTAAAACCTCTCATGTGACTGAGCAAGTCAACGTTACAATAACATATTCAACTGTTCTACCGGCTACAACATTAATTAATTCTATTGAGTCTCCTCCATTGGTGACTGCCACTTTAGCATTATCTCCTATTCTTCCTGTTGTTATTGTCCAAAAGAAGAGTAATCAAGATGAGTCTGATCTTGGCTCCAATAGGTTTGCCTCTCTGGTTTTTTTTAGGTTGTAGAAGATTTGTCGGATTCAGACAATGAGTGTGATACAACAGATCTTATGACACCTTTGGGCAAAAGAATCCTTCGAGATAGACCAGTCAAACCATCAACGAAGGCTAAGGAAATGATTTGGCAAGTTACAAAGGGTGGAAAGGGAAACCGAGGTCATGAGAATCGAGGTGGACGTGGCTAGATGGCTTCATCATCCTAACATTCGATCGAAGTGGAAGATTCGATTGTATCTAGTTTAGTAAATGTACTCTAAGCTTTATCACTCTTTGTATCTCTTTATAAAAACTGTATGACCTTGTGTCATAGCATGTAACGTTAGTTACTATATATAAAAGATATTTTAAAAAAAAAGTTATACTATTACGTTATTTAGTGACATATGGATATGGGGGCATTGCATTGATGGTATTA